CCCCCCCCGCCCCCCCCCCCAGCTCCTGTCAGGAATGTTTTCTGTCTGCTGGGGCCTTTTTCCTGGGACTGCCTCTCCCAGGAGAGCCAGCTTGGTGTCGTGGTTAAGTGTGCAGGCTCTAATCTGGGAGAACCGGGTTTGATTCCCCACTCCTCCACTTGCAGCTGCCGGATGACCTTGGGCGCGCCATAAGTTCTCTCAGTGCTGTCCTTGAAAGAGCAGGTCTGGAAAGAGCTCTCTCAGCCCCACCCACCTCGCAGAGTGTCCATTGTGGGAAGGGGAAAGGAAAGGCGTTTGTAAGCCACTCTGAGAGTTTGAGTGAAGGGTGGGATATAAATCCAATCTCCTCCTCCTCTTCCTCCTCCTCCTCCCCCTGTTCTCAGAGAGCGTTTCCCTTGCAGTGCCTCCTGGGGTGGTCGGTCCACAAAAGGGCGTTGATGACGATAACAGGGTGCGGGGTGGATGTGGGGATTTGGACGGCTGGGGGTGGACTGCGAATCAGCGGTCGGGGGTCAGAGAGCTAGTCAGTCTGGGGAAAGACCTTTCTTTGCCTAAGGCCCTGGGGGAGGAAGTCCAAGTCTCCTGTCTGGGTTCCTGCAGAAACCACTCTCTCTCCCCCTCCCTCGACCATAGAGGGTTCTGGAGCAGACGGGGGGGGGGGGCTTAGAAAGAAAGGCACATTCCTATAACCAAGCCGGGGAGATGGAATTGTTGTTGTCCTTTTCCCCAAAAACCTAGTCAGGCCCTCTGATTGCCTCTGAGCGGCAAGGGGGGGGGGGGCTTAGAAAGAAAGGCACATTCCTATAACCAAGCCGGGGAGATGGAATTGTTGTTGTCCTTTTCCCCAAAAACCTAGTCAGGCCCTCTGATTGCCTCTGAGCGGCAAGCAAGGCCATTTCTTTACTCCTGGGCGAGACTCATTCAGTCGAGCAGGGGGGGAGGGGCTTCTTGGACTCCGCAGCTCAGAGAGCCTGTGAATCTGACCTCAATACAGAAAGGCCTCCTTCGCGTGTGCCTGCGGGAGGAAGACTGGAGGGTAGGGAGAGAGCCCGTTTAGTGTAGTGGTTAAGAGTGGCGGGCTCTGATCTGGAGAACCGGGTTTGATTCCCCGCTTCGCCTCCACATGAAGCCAGCTGGTGGGGGGCCTTGGGTCAGTCAGAGCTTTTTCAGCCCTGCCAGTTTGGTGTACTGGTTGGGAGCACAGACTCTTGATCTGGGAAAACCAGGTTTGATTCCCCACACCTCCCCATGCAGCCAGCTGGGTGACCCTGGGTCAGTCACAAGTTCTGTCAAAGCTGTTCTCTCAAGAGCAGTCCTCGAAAGAGTTCTCTCAGCCCCACCTCCCTCACAGGGTGTCCGTTGTGGGGAAGGGAAAGGAAATGAGATTGTAAGCCACTCTGAGACTCCTTTGGGTAGTGAAGGGCGGGGTATTAATCCAATCTCTTCTCTTCTTCATGTACGTGGCATGAAGAAGACTCTTCAATCTCTTCAGATTCTGTGCTGTTCAGTTTCTTCAGCTTGGTGTTGTGGTTAGGACCACAGACTCTAATCTGGGAGAACCGGGTTTGATTCCCCACTCTTCCACATGCAGCTGCTGGGTGACCTTGTGCAAGCCACAGTTTTCTCAGAGCTGCTTTCTCAAGAGCAGTCCTCAGGAGAGCTCTCTCAGCCCTACCTGCCTCCCAGGGTGTCTGTTGTGGGGAGGGGAAGGGAAAGGAGATTGTAAGCCGCTCTGAGACTCCTTTGGGTAGTGAAGGGCGGGGTATAAATCCAATCTCTTTTCTTCTTCATGTACGTGGCATGAAGGAAGTTTTTAAGCCAAGTCATAGATGGGCTCGGGGAGACTTGCCGGCTGTGGAGCGAAAACAAGGAACGGTGGTCTCACTTGCTTTGTAGATGATCCCCCCCCCCCTTTCTTTTGCACACTGGTGTCGGTATACAATTACTGTGTCCTTTTGAAAAGTTGACCCACTGAGACCAGCTGGGGTTTGAGGTTCTGTGCCCTGCCCAGAGCGCAGTTCCAAGACCTAACCGGGGCCCTCTTGTGTTGCAGGGAATTAGTGCAAGAGGAGGAAGAACGGTTGATGGAAGAAAGGAAAAAGAGGAAAGAGGACAAGAAGAAGAGAGAAGCTGCCCAGAAGAAGGTGAGCGA